TGTATAAAACTCATAACTTTTTTTTTCAATTTCACTAATAATTACATATGCAAAGAGATAATTTGTCACCATTTTGTTCTTTTTTGAAAACATTATCATAGAAAAATGAATATTGATTCATTTTTTATCAGTATTGATAAATCTTTCATAAAGCTTTATTAGATATTTTTCTCATAATAGTCAAAATTTTCATTACATCTAATGCATGCACATATAATTTTCACTAAAAGTAAACATGATAAACTTCTTCAAAAAATAGAAAATTGATTAAAAACTTTTTAAGAAAATGAACTTAACCTAAATGATGAATATGTCGTTAAAGCAAATGGAAAAAAATGAATTTAATATGGAATAGTATAAGTCAAAAAAATTTAATATGATGCATGAACTCTATGAGTTGTAAATATTTCAGTTTCAAACATTTTAATTTGTCAAATTTTGATCAAGTTGATAAAAATAAATCAAATTCAAAATTATCAAAACTTGTTATCAATGATAGATTATTAATGAAAAACTCATACAAAATATTTACACGTAGACATTTACTTTAATAATATTATGTTCATATTTTTATTCTGATAGAATTCACAAATTTTTTAAATGATATAATAACAATTTTGAAAATGAAATTTTATATTTTAAAATAAAATTTTTATTATTAGATTATCATAGAAAAAATTGACTTATTTTGAATCTAATAGACATGAGTTTTTTATATCAATCGAGATGTTTGTGAAATAATATATTGAGTCCAAAAAAACTCTAATATAGCTGAATTAATGAATTAAATTTAAAACATCAAAATAGGCTTTTTGTGATATATTGTAAACATAAATTATAAAAAATTTAAATATGATTAAAAGATTTTCATTTATTGATGATATTTGTAAATCATGATTATAATTTATATTTATTTTATCTAAATTTAAATGGTTTTTTTATATAGAAATTTTTATTATTATATAAGAAGATGAATTATAAAAAAAAAATGAAAGTAGATTGTGTTGAGGTTAACTCCTGTTAAGAAGTAATCTCAAGTTGTGGCTAAATATAGCTATGAGGGTCGCCTTGACTGGGGTTAAATAACCAGGCTTCTGCCACTACATTTAGTCTTTCTTTACACACTGGTGTAATATTCACAACTGATCTTTCTTCATGGAAGTGGTACTCTTGAGGGTGAACCATCTTATATGACGTGTCTCCGATTAAGTTGTATACTCATGTACTAGCTATTGATAACTAGAAGGGTAGTAGGTGTTGAGGAATGTGTAATACCAACAAACTTCTCACTATAATATTGAGTGTGATCTTTTCGGATGGACGTAGTTCATCTAGAGGAAGAATCATGTTATACGACGGTATTATAATTGAGGATGAATCATGTTATAAGACAAGTCCTTCGTGTTGGTTGCTTGGCTTGAAATTTCATTGTGTTTCTCGAGTTTTTGCAGGTAACAAATAAATATCAAAGATGTTTTTATCAGAGATCATTGAAAGAGTGGAAAGATTCCATGCTGTCATTATTAACAAGAATAAATTTACGCTAACAAATATGGCAGAGAGCAAATTTGATCATCATTTGATTAATGATCAAGAAGAAGCACTGATACTAGTGGAGTTCCTGAGCACATTATTGAGCTAGTCAAGATTGACAGTAAACTCTCGTTATTGAGCTAGTCAATATTGACGATAAACTCTAGTTATTGAGCTAGTCAATATTGACGGTGGATTTTGGTGATTGAGCTAGTTAATCTTGACAGTAAACTCTGGATACTGAGCTAATCAATATTGACGATGGACTCCGGTGATTAAGCTAGTCAATCTTAACAGTAAACTCTAGTGATTGAGCTAGTCAAGATTGATAGTAAACTTTATTCATTGAGCTAATCAATATTTACATTAAACTTTGGTGATTGAGCTAGTCAAGATTGACGGTAAACTTAATCCAATTGATGCTTTGATCAAAGTTATTTCTTTAGAGAGTTTCAGACGACACTATGCTACTATGCAAGTTGTGCATGGGGGAAAGTTTGCTAGCATAGTGTCTTCAATGATCCCTTTATATAATTACTCTATATTGTGATGGTTACGGTTTAGTTCTAATTAATTTTTGTGAAAAGAGTAGTCTTGTATTAGGTTTCTTTCTAGAAGTTCTTGCGAAGTAATAATATAGGTTACTAGATTTTTGTTCTCTTTATGCTATGAGATTTTACTTAACTATTTATGTTATCACTCTGTTCTGTTATGATTACGGTTTATTTCTAGTTAACTCTTGTGTAAAGAGGGGCCTTGTGTTAGATTTCTATCTAGAACTTCCCTCTGAGTAATAATTTAGGTATAGAGGAAACTATATCCTTAACATGAGTTAAGGAGTAGATTGTCATAGCTATTGTCATTAGGAGTATCGAATGAACTAGGGTTAAAAACCCATGTTTCTTCTTGTACATTTAGTCTTTCTTTACACATTGGAGTAATACTCATGACTAATTTTTTTGAGTGGACGTAGCCCTCTTGAGCTCTTGAGGTTGAATCAACTTATATGACATATCTCCAGTTGAGTAATATAATCATGTCCTAGCTATTTATAGCTAGGAGGGTCGTAGGTGCTGGGATATTTAACCCCAGGCTTTGTGTATTAACAACAAACTTGTCACTATACTATTAAGTGTAATCTTTCGTGGAGTACCTAGCTCTCTTGAGGATGAACCACGTTATATGATATGTCTCTCGTGTTGGTTGCTTGGTTTGAATGTTTCATTGTGTTTTTTTGGATTTTACCTGTAATATATGGTTTGAATGATAATTCTAATATGACTTATTTAATTGTATAGTGAAAATAAAAAATTTTGTGTAAATTTTACTTAATATTAAAAATTTAACTAGAAAATAATCGCTCTAAATTATTTTTAAACATTTATATGAGGACTATTCTGAATAAAACTATATATATATATATATATATATACATACATACATGGAATAAACTCGGTTAAGTCCGCACTTTGATCTGAGAAGGTTTGTGCGGATTTATCTCAGATGCGGACTTTAGTTTATCTCATCTTGTGACTTCAATCTTTCCGCAATATTTCTATGTTAACTTTTGTCAAAAGGTCTTAATAACGAGAAAAGCCTCGGACAACATTCCAATGATTTTCCAGACGTAGTGATACTTCGTACCACACTTCACTTCATCCCAAAAACTATTAACCATGTGGTCAGAGGTCAACATTGACATTACTAATAGTCCTTGTATCGCAATAGTTAAGAAAAAGGATCGTAAATATCTGACTCAATTTTTTATTACAATTAGTTTGTGCTGTTGTTTCTCAACACCGTCTACGAAGAACTCATGTCGATATAGTTATTAACCAAGACAATATATTTAAGATATTGGTAAGTCTGTAGAGATTGATATGAGTGAAGCCTTATCAAGAATGAAACATCACCGTGATTAATCAAAAGTTTGACTTCTGCTGATAATAAAACTCTGGAATTTTGATTCTTGAAATTTCGGACTTAGGCGGGGTAAGGATTTGCGAGGGTATGTATGTATGTATACATATATATAAGTTCTTAGCATAATTTTTTATGTCCTTGAATTAAATCAATTATTTGTTTGTTTTTCGCATTTGATGTTTAGCAATTCAGATTACATTTTGATGTAGGAACGAAGTCACGTTAAAAGTACAAAAAATTCACGTTGCACAGTGGGGCTTTGTGTTGACAGTGGGATTCGAACCCACGCCCTTTCGGACCAGAACCTTAATCTGGCACCTTAGACCAACTCGGCCATATCAACTGGTATGCCATTCTTCAACAGTTGACACATTTTGAAAGTCATATTTTAACAAAATGTGTAAAAATCGAAGTAGATGTGGAACAATGGTGTTGAAAAGTAAAGTTTTACTATTCTTTATGAACCATATAATTCTATATATAGATATTTTATTCAAAGTTTTAATATTTGTATAGGAGGATTATCATACTATGATGTAGATCATAAGTTGCATTTAGTTTATGATAAATCTTATTGTAGTTTATAAACACCCATTGATCCAAGGAAAGAAATTTAAAGATAAATGTTTTCGAGGAGCAATTAGTGTTATGAACATATTAATGTCGAAAGAATAAATATATTTTATTGATCATAAATATTTATTAGCCGATGTTACCAACTTGGTTATCTCTATTGCTTGAAAGACTCGTCAATGTCAATTTGCAATATTACTTGGCAGGATTTCTAAGTTCTAGATTTTTATATTGACTATTTTGATTTGTGGCTGGCTGGTTTAGAAGTATATTTTCATGCGAATTGACACGTGTGATATTACCAGACATTGCCATGGAGAATAATATTCGTAGAGCGGGCTGAGTTACACAAAGAACATTCTTCTTTTCAACCAAGTGAATTTGAGGTACATGTCTTTTGTTGTATACGGTCGTAAATAGAGTTTCATACCTTTCCCCGAAACCCAGTCTGATCTCATCTCTGTCATACTAATTCCTTCACTGTCGAAAGGGACAAGGCAATTGCTTGTCGTCTTGGGCAGGGGGTCTGTCCATCCGCATGTCGTGACATTCCGTCCACACCTGAAGGCAGGAGCAGAGAAGCAAGTAATCCTGTCCAAAACCAACAAACTGGAAAAGGGGCCAGCGAATGTCACAGCAGGTCCAAGACATGCAGCGTACAGCTCTGTTGTCACAACACTACGCCGTCTTGGACTGATGACAGACAAATGATGCGGTGAGATGGAGGCAAGCGATTACTATGCAGGCAAAACTCTCAAACGCGGGCCAAGTATATAGCCAAAGTGATGGGAAGACGCCACTCTTACCTTTCTTCACCACATACTTTCCACTCTCCGATGCAGTCATGGGCTGACACACACTGTGACGACCAGGAGATGACGCAGTGAACTTACGAGATGTTGGCCTCTCATGTACGTCATAACTCACCATGGCCTATCTATATACACACGTCATGTACAACGACTCTTTGAAAGACACCTCTCGAGGGTCTGTGGGCGACTGCCTTGTATGTTATTTACTTGCCCCATAAAGTTCACAAAGAATTTCCTACAACGTAGCTTATCAACAACTAGCTTTCGAATGAGAATGACCATCCGACTTACGTCGGTTCGAGTCTCTCTAGATTTACAGCTCTTGCTTGAGCCCCTAAAACTGAGAACCTGATACTGCGGTACGCTACAGCCGTCTTCATAGAGCTCTCTAATTACACTAGTCTAACTTCTGCTAGGACCTACTCCTACGTTATCTCTACTGTATGAACAAATTGAATGAGAATTTCACAATTTTTTAACACTTTTTCTACATTGAAGCGCGAGTGTGATCTACTTCTTCATGTTCCTCAGAGCCATGTAGGCAAGAAATCTGAACCCGAATAACATGATCATCATAGCCATCACGGCGATACCCATTCTGTCTAGCCCGACTTGTTGCACCGTGGGATAATCAACGATGCGGCATCGGCCGGTTGCACAAGCGTAAGTTTGATCCTTGGAGTATTGCGAAGCCAACTGCAACTTGAAACCATAGTAAGTGAACGAAATGTACTTGACCCAACCGATGAAGGCAGGGGTATTGGTCACGAAGTAGCCACCCGCCAACTGGAAAGTCATCATGATCACCGATGCGAGGGTCGTAGCCTTTTTCACGTCCATCATTGCTGCGCCCAGGAGAAGCCCCATTCCTTGCGAGACGAGGACGTTGAAGAGGACTGTGGCGAGCGTACAGAAGAACGCTCCCGCCGTGGCCTTCAGCCCAGACATCCAATAGATCATGGTTATGGACAATGTTGGCAGAACCAGTTCCAATGGCAAGTCCCCGACTGTTCGAGCGAAAAAATAGGCCGTGAGACGGTACATGCCGGACGCTCGCTCCTTAGCAAGCATCTGACGTTCTGTCGGAAAAGTGAAAATGGATGAGAAGATGGGGAAGAATCCCCAGAACGTGGACACGAAGAATAGCAAGCCAGCCTGCACAAACCGAAAGAAGTAAGTCAACATGCTTTAAAGTGTCAAAAGTGTCTTCTTACTTTTAGTCATCAGAGTAAGTACCAAAGCTTTCCTGCTCGAGTACCGTGCATATCTAAAACACTCTATACGTGGTTGAAATTGTGTATTTGCGTGAAACAGTCATGCCTAGCAAGACAGGACGCAAGACGTATACAGGAACTTTCGGCAAGTCTATGGGTCTCTTTTGTAGGAAGCTGCAAAACGAGGGTGAATTGCAAGACGGAGCTTTTCCTAACGTGGGTCTTTACACTCAATACAAAGCTGAAAGCTGTCGAGGTGATGTAACAAATCATGTCATCTGAGTCACACCTGATCGCCGATGTTGTCCGCTGATGATTGCCACCAGAGCAGGCCACAAACCAAGGATATGGCGAAGACTTGAATGATTCGAAGACCAGCAAAAACCTCATGTCTCCTCTCCTTCATACCTCGAACGGTCAAAACTGAAAATTGCTCCCACCAAGTACTGGGCCACTTCACCTTTTCTCTGGATGCTGTAGATGGAAATCAAACACGTATCTTCAGTATACCAAAGATGTACCTACAATCTCCCTACGACATAATACGCATTCGCCTGTCGATGATTAAGAATATTCTGTCTTTTTCTGACATGAAATAAGTATATACTACACGTGCTCAATTTCATAAACTGTCCATGCCATTTTGTACATCCATCATACACAAAGACTTTGGGTCAGCCGATGTGCAAATTCTGTAAAATAATCTCCTGTATTCAAAAGAGTTTAAAGCACATAGGGATGAGATAGTATCAAAACTTTTTAAAAAAATGGAAGCGCATGTGTTCATCAATTAATATAAATATGAATCCGCTTCAAAGACTATTCAGAAGTTTAAATTTTGTACGTCGAAGGTTTCAAGATTGGAATACCTCGTCTTTCCTCGGCTGTTATGCTCGTAGAACGTGCCATACTCGCTCTGGTTTGAGATAGCTGTTTGCTAACGTAGGCTTCCCTCAAAGTTTTCAGAATATCCTCTGATTTATTAGCTTTCCTATGCGAACTGAAAGACTGTTCTCCACCGGCAGGATCGATGTGATGTTGAATTCCTGACCATCATAGCCACGAGCCAGCAAGTTAGCAGGATACTTACTAGCAGAGTTTACAGAGCGGTATACTCAGCAGAGTTTGCATTCAAAACCAAATACAGAAATGAATTGATGGTCGAAATTTGTGTAGACGAAGACGTCGAAGACCTTACCATTTGCTAGATCAAGCAAGTAATCAGCTGGATTTGTGGCGTACGATGGGGAAAAGCCGACTGAAGCGAAGTAGCTCATTGCTTCACTTCTGTGACCGTAGTAAAGTATATGACCGTCGGAAAGGAGTAGCAGCTTGTCGAACATGTGGAATATGATACTGGACGGTTGGTGGATGGTGGTGATAACCGTTCTACCACCTTTAGCTAAATCTTGGAGAGTCTGAATAATTTTCAGTGCGATTGTAGAGTCTAGACCAGAGGTTGGTTCATCGAGCAACAAGAGACTGGGATCAATCAACATCTCATGGCCGATGCTGACTCTCTTTTTCTCGCCACCGGATACACCTCTAAGAAATGGACCACCAATTATGGTGTTCTTGCACTTCTCGAGTCCTAATTCTGTGATAACATCTTCAGCTCGCTGAATCTTCTCTTGCTTGGTAAATTCTCGGGGTAATCTCAACAATGCTGCATAGACCAATGTTTCCTTCACGGTGAGATGCGCGTACAGAACATCGTCTTGAGTAACGAATCCCGTCCTCCTCTTCATGCCCTTGTCGTAAGGCATATCGTTATACAGGATATTTCCTGAAAGGTTGCCTTGGCCGCGGCCGCCGAGGATATTCAGAAGCGTGGTTTTTCCACTTCCTGAAGGACCCATCATAGCAAGCATCTCTCCAGGCTTCACCCCCCCAACTATATTGTGGAGAATAACTTTGTCAGGCGCGTTATGAGCCATTTTACTCCCCCAGCTCTTGTAATCCCACCATGTCGTCTGTGGCTTGAGACTCACACTGTAACTGACTTCCTCAAACTGCGAGACAAAGAAATGAAGCCCAGAAAAAAATCAGCACATGCTGTACGACTTGTCACCTTCTTCGTATCTGCAACTTAACTATGATAATTATAATTTCTGATCTCATAGAGTTAAATGATTATCAGAGGCAACTGAAGAATATCCACCATGTCAAACGATATATTCGTGCATGAAAGAGGTTCTAGTGATGCCGATGCTGCAGCAAATGTGAAGCTACCCTTACCTTCAGATTGATGGGCAGTGGACGTTCGGACTGAGCTTTTCGGACGGGACCATTTTCATCCATCGGTATCGTTTCCATGTCTACAGTCCAATTCTCTTTCGAAAAATTCTTGATTGACCCGAAATTTTTCTCACGGGCAGATTCATGATAATCAGCTTCCTCTCCACCTGCGTCCCTGGATACAGGGACCTGTTCGCCTTCTTGCGCCACCATCGCTGTCGGTTACAGAAGCAGCTGCATACGCTGCAGTTGTCTTTCCCGGACGAGACCTCGAGAGCCAAGAATTGAAATTCAAGAATTCTTGCAAGGAAGATGTAATGTCAAACGACGATGTGATTCTGAGTATATCAGAGAACTAAGCAACTGTTCAGAGGAGGTGCAGAATTACTACTACAGCGCGAGAATCGTCCAGCGTTCTCGTCTCGCGTGGACCCGCAGTGCTTGGGATTGAACACAAGATCGTCACGGACGCTATATATACAACGGGAGGCGCCCGAGCCCACGCAGCCTTAAACTGCAAGACATGTCACCGATGGGTCCAGCGGGTCTCTCGAAGTAGAGGCCGAAAACAGTTTACGCACCGGTGAGCCCTGACAGATGTTCTTCCCTTCTTTTCCGAAGCTTTTCGCCCGAAAAGAGGTCGGAAAATTGCGGCCTAAATTGCATGGCCTCAGGTCTCATAATCCGGAACACGCTCATTTAAGGACGTAACCGAATGGAAGCTTAGTGTCCGGGACAGGTTATAGGATGCGGTCGAACTGCTAGCTGCCAGATTTGTCCGCCTAGTCTGACGTGTGATCCTTGTTGGAGCTGAATGGAATTCATCGGTTGAGGCCTGGTTAGATTTCGACTCGTCCAGCAGGACAGCATGGTAGAGGGTTTATCGACGAGTCCACTATGGAGAGATCCCAGTCATCGATTCCGGTTCGCTCTGGCGGTTACTTGATCGCTCGAGCTTGAACACATGGCCGGATCTGGAAGCCGTGTTGGCAGCAATGGTGTCCAAGACCAGACGCTCCTGCCAACGTCTAAAGAAGGCGCAGGAAAGGTGAGGGAGGGATGGAGGGAGTGCTTTCGTGATACTCAGGAACGTGGCATTTTTCAAAGTTGCAACCTCGTTGCGGCCTGTGACGTTTACAAGTGGGAAATTCGCGAGAATTCTCACCCCGTTTCAGGGCTTGCCGCGTGTTGCGCAAGCGAGGAATCGAGCAGCCTGATTTCCTCTGCGGCCATGCAGTGCTTCTCTCGCTCTCTACTTCCGCACACCATTTACGGCAGCTTCTGATGTCGCCGCCAGATGCACTCCGGAGATTCTGAGCTCCGATACGGCCACGACGCTCGAAATCTTCCAAAGCAGGAATCTTCTAAATCATGCCTTCCGTCTCTCTGTCTTTGTAAAAAGGTGGTTGCCACTCACCAAACACATTTCCTTCTGGAAGCTGAATGTGATTGGAAGAGTTTGCTAATCTCCATTCCGGGCGTTCGTTCATTTGCATCTCTCGTAATTCTTTGAAAGGCCTTCCGCCCCCATCTATATCGAGGCAGATTCTTGGCATATTGTAGTCATCATGTTCCAGTCATTACCTTCGTCTCGAGGTTGATTCGTTGAAGCTATAACAATAGTAAGCAGCTCCCAAACGCTATCGGCCTATGCTTGATTAGGTTTGCCCAAGCGTTACTGAACAAGCGACTGATGACAGCACGAGAATAAATTTTGACCTTCTTCTCCATTTTCTTGCGTTGACAGCACGACTCAGAAGACGAAGAAGAAGGAACGCCATGTCGAAAAGTCGAAGCGGGCGAGTGGATAGCAAAAAGAATGGGAAGACCCCATCGGGCCATGTCGAACAAGTCAGATTGGCTCATTTCTCTCCAAGGGGAAGCGAAGTTGTCGCATTGACCACGAGTCGAACCTAAACTTAGATGCTTCGAGAATTCGGCAATCCGAGGAGAAGACACCATAGAGACAAACATTTTGACCTTCCTCTTAACTGCCTGTCCTGACACTTTCATTCACCCACTTTCCAACGCCCACGGAATTTGTATTCATCCCACAATGGTCCACATCCCCAACCTGCCTCCCTTCTTGATTTAATCATTTTCTATACACATGGCAAGCTACAACGCATCCCCAGACGTCTCGAATCCTACCTCCCTTCTTGCTTTCCCTTGTGCTCGGATTACTGTTCAGATTTATTGTTGTTTTGCGTACATCCTCAAGAGTCTCCATTCCTACCTGCCCTTTTATTTTCCCTTATCCTTGGAGTTCGGATACAGTGTAGTTTTGTATACATCCCGAAGAGACTCAAATCCTACCTGCCCTTTTATCTTCCCTTAGGCTTGGAGAAATGTTCGAATACAATGTAGTTTTGTATGCATCTTCAACAGTCTCAAATCCTGCCTGCCTTTGTATTTTCCCTTGTGCTTGGAGGGAGTGTTCTGATACATAGAAGTTTTGTATGCATCCCAAAAAGTCGTAAATCATATCTGCCGTTCTAAATCCCTTATGATTGGAGGGAATGTTCGATTGGAGACCTTGTGATCTGCTATATTACCTGAAGGTTTCGGATCGTACATTCCTTCTTATTTTCCCTTCTGTTTCACCGTAAAGTGCAACCCTAAACTCTAGTGTCAAAACCAGGGCCAAGTTCATAACAAGACCCATCAAGCCCTACAAGCTGAAACCCAGAGTAATATACAACAGTTAACATATCCAAATTTAGCGAAGGAGTACTACTAGGTGAGTATAGATGGCTGTTAAGGTCTACACTAATATAGAACTTCATGGACGGTATTAAAACGGAGTTACATTTTATTGCCAGTCGGCACTTGTGAGCTAGACTTAAATATGTATTTGAGAGAACATGTGATATTAATCAACAGGGGGATCAATGTTTTATATTACGTAACCTCCATGAGTCAATAGATATACTTATCTCTCTCCAAACAGGACTAGCTATTTATATCTATCCATATTAAATGACATTTCTTACAATTTTCTGTTGTTTCTAGAGACTTTGACTTGGATATTGCACATACCTCAGGTACAATTGTTAAAATTCACCATTGTGACCATCTTGCATCTTAGCCCATGTTAACATAGTCACATGAGCATTCCCGTCAATTTATTATGTTTCTAGGAGACTTTAGTTGCTAAGGCTATTTATTCAAAGCTTCAATATCAGTCTTCACTTTTAGCCGCCAGGTATTTTCGCGCGAAGTCGCGGGCATGCAATGCCCACGTTTCACGAAATCAATTGGACTCTTATAGGAAAAGTTATCAAATACGATTTTCATTTCCTTCGCTTGCTCTCAGATCCCTCGTCCCGAATCCCGCCGGCCTGGCATTCATCTTCAGGAACGTGGTCTTTTGCAGGACAGTCAGTTAGTCACTCACTCGAGACCAACGAGCCGGGATACGGATTGAAAGTTATCGAATCATGAACTTTCTGGAGTCGCAGACTTTCGTTGTTGGGGCCTTGGGGCAGGAAGAAAGATACGTGTGTACATGGCCCGCTTCAATCAGATTCACCGGACGGGTCTTTAAGCATCCAGTCACTGGAGACTCCGGATGCCTCAAGATCCCATTGCACCTCTGACATGAGAATTCCGTTAAATATGTTCTAACATCAAAACTTTTAGACATCAAGCATGTGTTAGAGATGGTGTCATATATTCAACTCAATTCAAAGTAACGTAAAATTCATATTCATATTTTTCAACCGATAGTTCTAGGAAATGATTGCACAATTCTTTGCTATGAAATTTTTTTGTTAAGGGACTCAATTAAATTATTCAAATAAATTTCTGTAGAACCTTTTGTGAGTTTATATCATCATATATGTAAAGTTGAAATGAAAATTTAAAGAATTACTAATTTAATAACAATGTAAATACTTTTACTCTCATTAAACTAATTTAATTTTAGAGCATCCTTTAGTAAATCTCAACTTCAAAATGAGCACTAAAAGTGACTGCAGTTCATGCTTGTATTTCTTGGTTCAGGTGTTTCAAATCTTTAGACGTCCTGTAACATGTACCCGATGTCTTTAAACTTCCAAAGATGCACATCTAAAACGAAACTCCATTCAAAATGCGTCCACATAATATCATTTAAAAATCAAGCATGATTTACGTTGTTACGGTCCACAGCATGATTCGATGTAACGTTAAATCTGATTATTTAGTATTAAATTAAAAATGTCAAAAAATAAAATAATTCATGAAATTATATTCTTTTAGATAAAAATTACAAATTTTCCATAAATCTAAAAATATGGTAAATTATCTCATAAATTTCACGTCATAAAAATTACAATGTTAGCATCAAATACAGCCATGAATCTAAGATATTATTTATAAAGAGATTTATTTTAAAATCAAAATTAAACTTATTCTATTGTGGATTTTTTCAACATAATTTTCAACTCGTTAGTATGTATCAATTCAAACTAACTTTCTTTTCCAGTTTTTTTGAAAATTGCAATAAAAGATTATTTTTTACAAAAGAATCATGTGTGTTATGTACATCCCCATTACATACGATAGATTCAACAATGACTTTGTATACGTCTATGAGTATAAAATCATTATTAGAACAATAACTACAAATAAAGTGGCTTCAAAATATTGAAAGACTCATCATCAACCTTAATTTTGCATTTTTGCCTTCCACAGATGTATGTGGTGCATAATAAATACATTGATATATTCCATTAAAACTATATCAATATATTTAGTCTGATTAAAAATTTAGTCTATTGTTAAATGAATTTCTTTCATAAATTTAGAAGATTATTTCAATGTCAATGATCATTTTGATAACCCATTATCTTGATTATATATTCAAAACTAAACCTCAATTTCACAATTTCATTAATTCTATTTTATATCAATAATTTCATAAATAATAACAAATTATTGTAGTGATAACTTTTCGTAACAAATAAATGATATTTTTCAAAACAAAAAAAGTTAGCTTGCGTTTTAAAAAATTCATCAGTGCATTCTTTTAACAAGATGTAAAATCTTTAATAAGAAAAAATATGTTTAGCTAAATATAATTCGATAAGATCTTACCAATTTCAGGAGATTTGAGTACATGATAAGAATAAAATACTTAATTTTTTCTTTCTTTACTCTAGAAATGATTCAAGTAAAAAAGGAATGTACATCATAAATATGATGTACATGAAAATAACTTCAAAATCACACATATTATAAAAAAACTTTTCTTGAAAGCAGAATTTTAAACACTTTGTAATTGAATAGCTGTGTGTATGCAGAAACATATATAATTATTATAATTTATATTTTTTATACCATTCAACTGGAAAAAACCGCAAACACTCATTGAAATTAAGAATATAAATTTATGAATCTTTTTAGCATTGAATATATTGTATTGAACTTAAATCAACAGTATATGTATTGATTCATTTACATTGATTTAAAATAAATTGTATACTGATTACTAAACTCAGTTGATTTATGAATGCTTGTAATTACAGAATTAAATCAAATAGCCTAAATTTATGCTTAAATTGCTTAAATTTTCAATGAAAGATTTGATGATTTTTTTGTTTGCATGAATATGTTAGATCACGATAAATTTGCAAGGAGACTTGTAATGAAGATACTGTTTTTGAAAAAATATGGAATTCACGAGGACGGTTAAATCCAATGTTATTTTGAAAAAAAATTAGTTTTTCGAAAAAGACATCAACCTGAACAAATTTGCAATCGGGCCGCATAGTTTTACCAAAATGGTGAAATTGATCGTGAAGTAATAAATCCATGTGCATTACACTATTCATACAGAACAACTAAAGTAACCACAATTAGATATTTCTTATGCGAAAAGAGTCTCATCCGTATCGAACATAGAATTTGTGCATGTGGAAAATATCAAGGTACAAAAGTATTGAAAAGAAAAGTGACAAAGAAAAGAGATTTCGGTCCGGTCAGCGGAATCAGATATCCAAGATATCATATCTTGGATGTCGCTCCTGGCGCAAAGGTCGCTCCGGCGTCAGTACAGTAGCTTTATATCTTGTGGGCAGTAAAGGCTCTTGGGGTGTCTGGAATCGCTATACGATAATGCTCTGCCAGGTTGCCCTACATTAGGAGCTTGCCGCACGTGCAATATCCAACTCTGCCCGTGCGTCCTGAAGCAAATTGTGCTAATTTATCGCCGTTCGAATAGACGGGTTCATTTTAAGCTATAATGCCAAATAAATCGTGATAGCCCAACTTTGTTCTTATTCCTTCAGCACCTTTTGCATTTCTTCGTTTGTGTTCGCGATCATCGTGCTGGTTACAATGCTGGCCGCTACACCGGCCAGCATTGTAACCAACACGGGGCTGAGGCTGACAAATTTCCGGGGCAAGGTTAGGCGCTGCGCTTGTATCTTGTGTTCAAGAATCACAATGGATAATTAAAATGCCGCACAGGAAACAACGGTGAGACCCCGTAAAGCCAAAGAAGCAGACGTAGTGCCTAGGGATGCCTCTACCTTAGGAAGTCAGAGGGTCCCCACCTAATCGAAAGGACCTAGCAATAGGAACGCACTGGATAACAAGCAGTAGGGAAGGAGCAATAAAATTAATTTAAATCCTCATGATCAAATGACTATAATAATTTATCTCATTATCCCTGATTAAAAAAAGTCCTTGATTTGATGGGATCATAGATAAAATTTAAAAATTAAATTTAAGTTAATTTTATGTATTTAAAAAACTAAAAAATTCGTAGATTAATTTAAAATAGAAAATCAAACTTTACTTCATGTTACTTGAAAATGTCATAAAAATTAAATCTCAAAGTAAATTTTTTTTTTCATTATTCAACGTTAATAAAGATACTTTGTGTGAATTTTGATTTACCTCAACAGCTCATGTTTACAATTATAAATTAGATTGATATTTTCTTACATAGTAAAATTAAAATAATTAATATGATGCGTTAATTCCATAATGGATGTTTTTATACAAAATAAATGATATGTTTTAAATGCGATTATATATTTCTTTTTCACGATCAATTCTGGACATGGTAAGCAGATTGTTTTTAAAGTAATTCTCTATACCTTGATTATTATTCATTGTCCCCTTTGCGTTGCAACCTAAACTCTGTTTATTAATATTTTAATATTTGGAATTTATTCTTCAAAATAATAATATCACACGGGTATTAAAATCTGTAATATTAAATTTTAATCTGTAATGAAATTGCATCTTGAAATCAATTTTCAAATATTCAATTTAATAATGAGTAAGGCAATGGATGCAGTTGAATGTATCGTTGATCTTTTAAATTTACTTGAACTTGGACACTAAAATAAATTTTCATATAATATTCTACAGAAAAACCATAACTATAAAAAAATGTTTCATGATATATGTTATCAATTATATGATTTATATTCTATTTGAAAATTTCTTATGATGATTTGAAGTTGAAGGGTAGATTTCAGATCTTCTAATTTATTGAACATATTTCCAAAATTTTACGATTGATGAGAAGGTGCCAGTTTATAGTCTGAATTGCATGATTGTGCTTGAATTGAAAATTTGACTGAATTGGATGAGTTTTGAAAATTGAGTAAAATCCTAATGAGTGTACACAATCAAAGTTACAATCAATACTCATTTATACATAGTGAAGATTGTGATGAAAAATTTTGTTGTCATAGCTTTTGATACATAAAAACTATTCAAAGTTCAGATTGAATGATAAAACAAGAATCTTCTGAGATATGAAGTCATTATAAATAAATGGTTATAATTTCAATATAGTCTTCGTTTTGAATATGATTATCAAAAGATATGGCACTGAATTGTATAGTTTACGATATTAAGGGCTCATAGAGGTCTTAATGCTTTTACTTGTAAAAGTTTGGGCAAGATTCAGACAACGAACTGTGAGATCTAATGAGCATCTTATTGCGAAATTTGACCTCATGCATTTTACTCAAACATGGGCAAACAGATTGTGAATTTGCGTGAGGGTCATCGGTTCTTACAGTGTAGTCAAGTCCTTGCCACATCTCTAAAGGAATTGGTGACTATATAGTCCATGACTGACTTCAAAAGCACAAGTGAAGATTGCGTTGAGGCAGTGAGAGTCAGAATAATAGACCATGATATAACAATCAGATACAAGAATCTCGTGCTTGAACCACATCATGTTACAGTTTCTAGAAGAAACTACGATGTAATAGACAAAAGAAAAAGCTGAGCTTGCCCATGCACTCTCGTGGAACGACTATATCCTTCAGCCCCTCCCCGAGCTCTTGCTTGCAATGAAAAGCAATGAAGTTGCAAAACCTGTAACTCTGTTTGTGATAGACTCGTTCAAATGTGTCGACTTCTACCAAATTGCTAAAAATCTGAGCACTGACTTGTGCCACTGTCGAATGTCGTTCGTTCATTGCACCAAAAGTACAGCTATAAAACTCCCCATCTTTGGAACACAAAATATAATAACCAGAAGACTCTGACTATTGTGGTCGCCTTAGACAGAGCGACCACAAAGAAGCAGAGTATCAACGATCAAAGGTGCAGGTGCTCTTCGTATCAGTTCCTACTTCGACCCGTCAGATTCTAGTTGCCTATCCTGAACGCCCTACTGTATTGCCTTAAGTTGACTACCGAGTATGGAAGTGGAGGCTTGTTGTGCTGATTTAAAAAATACAGAGCAGCGCCTGGGCAATTCTGGCTCGCTTGGTCTTACAGATTTGCAACCATAGAGATCGGAATTCCGTGCTAGGCACACTGATGGGATCACAACCAGACGGACTCGGGACA